CCACAAGAAGGTTTACTAGTAAAATGCTGAAAGTAGTTTTTCAGGAAGTCTTGTAGTGGTTTCCAATGAATTTTTTTTTTTTTTGTTATTAAGGTGGCTTACATTGCTGAAGGAATTTTATTAGAATTGCATACGGGATATACATTAATAGTCACTACTGTTTGTAATTACATGAAGAGTGTATAATAAACTACATGTACAACTTTAGTCATTGTCTAATTTAAATAGTTCGCTGCACAGATGATTAGATCACCCAATTGGTTCTACACTATGCTGCTATACCTGTAACCTGCCTATGAGTTATCTATTTAAACACTCTGTTCATTAACTCATACAAATCTAATCTAATGTTACCACAACACCTAACTGCTTAAGCTAGCTAGCTCGTTACAGATCTATTTATTCAGAATGGCTTAGGTCCTCTTGGAATACATTATACTTAACGCATTGTAGATACCGCAGAGCTAGTTAACTTCAAAGCATACCTACTAGAGTGGTCCATACCCATTTTACAGATTCACCTAGCTTAGGTCCTTGTAGATATTCATACAACTCTAGTTCCTATCATAGCTCTTCACCAGTTTTCTGTATCTATCTTCTTGGATATTTCATGAGGCAGATCTTCCCAATCCAGTTAGCCGCCAAGCCAGGTTGGTGTTACTGATCCTCCCTGTGGAACAGATTATGCTATCCAACTCAATCTGCATCTTTAATCGATAGTTTCTTTTCTAGATTAAGCATTAGCTGATATGACTATCAAAGGCTATACTACTTTACCCACTCAGTATTTCTACTATGCAGGTCCCCTGCTTGTAGATTCTATCAAGATTTATTCGTGTAATGTTATATCTCACCAAATGCCTCATCACACTTCCAAAATTTGGATGATATTAGTACAACATGATTTACAGAGTTACAACTCCAGAAATGAACAGGGTTTACTGTAAGTTGAGTACAAAGGTCCAAATAATTATTCAAATTTGTCGACAGTAGAATTTGAACTTCAGACCTCTTGCATAGTGGTAGTGTTCTGAGTTAGTAAAAATTTTTCTAATCGATTAGTTGCTAACTATAGTTGCAACTAATCAATTTTTCTATCATATGACTAAATTTGTTAATTAGCTAATCTAACTAAATAAATTAACATGAACTAGCCTGAATAGACGGAATATCTTGGAATTTAACTAGTTGATGATTTAATTGATTAGTTGTTTTAAAATTTTCCAAGTTGATTAGTTGGAAAGTTGTCAACTAGTTGGTTTTTCAACTATGATTTGGATCACTACATAGCGGTCTGGCAACTTAACCACTACACTAAGATCACCAGACCTTATATTATACTAATTTTTAAATACTATTAGATATATTATTTTTATTAATATTTTCAAAATTTTCATTTATAATTTCAGAGACTTTAATAATTTCTTCAAATATTTCATCTTTTTGGTTTTCTTGTAAATATTTAATATTTGAAACTAAATTTAAAAAATCTTGTTTAGGAATATATATTTTATCATCTAATATTTCAAAATGAATATTATCCCATTTTAATTCAGAAGATTTTTTTGTTTTTTGTAAATTTTGAAAAACTTCATTAATTTTAGAATAATTTCTATTTGGTTCTACAATAAGAAAATAATAATGATTACATAATTGATGTTGATTTGGTATAAGATGAGAATATTCTAATATATCTAAAGTTCCACTTTTTTGAGCTTTTTCTGCAGCAAATTTAGTAAATTTACAAAATTTTGAAGTATTATATTGATAATTTTCAATTGCACATGGACCAAAATTTTTTTTCTGTAGTGGCATTGTTATAAAAATTAAATTTTTTAAAATTACAAAATTATAAAAAAAAAAAAAATTATAATTAAAAAAAAGTAGAATATAGGTTATATTTATAATTTTTATTGTAATACAAATATAATTATTATTACATAAAAATTATTATTACAAAAATTTATAGTATTAATACCCAATTAAAAAACTTTATTAAAAATATATATCTTTAAATATATTACATATTTAATTAAATCTAGCTCTAATTTATTTGCTATATAAAAAAAAAACTTCAAAAAAAATAAAAAAATTCATTGGAAACCACTACAAGACTTCCTGAAAAACTACTTTCAGCATTTTACTAGTAAACCTTCTTGTGG